AGGGCTGCGTGCCCTATTTTGGATCTGCGGGTTCTAACCGGTCTCTGAGGAGATTCAGGTTAAAGATGCTCATCATCCCCGCCACCGTGACGCACATCCAATCTGAGGATTGGTTCGTCACGATAGATCTAAAGGACGCCTATTTCCAGGTCTCCATCCGTCCTTCTCACAGGAAGTTCCTGAGGTTTGCCTTCGGGGGTGTGGCTTACCAGTATCGGGTTCTTCCATTCGGCCTGGCACTTTCCCCTCGCACATTCACCAAGTGTATGGATGCAGCACTGGCCCCGCTGAAGCTCCGGGGCATCCGGATTTCAACTTCATCGACGACTGGCTCATCCTAGCCCAGTCTCGAGAGTTGGCGGTTCGGCATCGAGATGTCGTTCTGGCTCGTCTGCGGCGTTTAGGGCTGAGGCTCAACGCAGAGAAGAGCGTGCTGGCGCCCACCCTACGGGCTACGTTCCTAGGGGTTGCATGGGATTCGACAACGATGCGGGCACAATTGTCTCCGGCACGTGTCGACACCATATTGGCTGCCGTGAAAGGGGTGAAGTTAGGCCACGCCATTACTATGAAACACTTTCAACGAGTGTTGGGTCTCCTGGCGGCTGCGTCCAGCGTAATACCATCTGGACTGCTGCACATGAGACCCCTGCAGTGGTGGCTAAGGAACAAGGGTTTTTCCCCGAGGGGAATCCTCTCCGTCTGGTTTGGGTTACGCGCAAGTGTCTTCGTTCCCTATCAGTTTGGAAGGAAACTTGGTTCCTGTCCCAGGGGCCCGTGCTGGGAGGGTCTTGTCGCCGGCTGGTTATTTCGACAGACGCCTCCCTCACGGGCTGGGGCGCGGTCATGGACGGCCGCTTTGCAAGGGGATCCTGGCAGGTGCATCGATCCGAGTGGCATATCAACTGTCTCGAGATGTTGGCGGTGTTCCAGGCTCTAAGGAGTTTCCTGCCCGATCTCCAAGGCCACCACGTCCTGGTTCGTTCCGAGGAGAACAACACAGCGGTGGTGGCCTATCTGAATCACCAGGGCGGTCTGCGCTCGCGCCCTCTGGACAGACTGGCGCGTCAGATCCTCCTGTGGTCCCAGCAGAGGCTACGTCTGTACGCTTTTCCCCCAGTCGCTCTGCTCCCGGGGTTCTGGAGCGGGTCCGCCAGGACTATGTCGGCCTACTGCTCGACTACTGCTTGACCCTCAAGATGGCCTTTCTCCTTGCTATCACCTCTCTGAGGAGGGTGGGGGAGCTCCAAGCGCTTTCGGTTTCCCCGCAAAGCCTGGAGTTTGCCCCGGGGAATATTAGGGCTATCCTGCACCCTCGTTCAGGATACATCCCTAAAGTGCCTTCTTGTGCGGCAGGGTCCACAGTGCTGCAGGCATTTCATCCTCCACCTCATGTGACGGCGGAGGACGGGAGACTTCATCTGCTCTGCCCTGTCAGAGCACTGAGTATTTACACTCTGAGGTCCTCCCGTTGGAGGAAGGCTGACCAGCTGCTAGTGTGTTTTGGGTCTCCCAGGGCCGGGCTCCCTGCATCCAAACATACTATTAGCAACTGGATTGTTCAGACTATTTCCCTGGCCTATCAGGTGCGCGGTTTGCCTTCACCTGTGGCTGTGAGGGCTCATTCTACCAGAGGCAAGGCGGCCTCTCGAGCCCTCCTTTCCGGGGCCTCTTTACGGGATGTTTGTTTAGCGGCTGGCTGGGCCACTCCGCACACATTCATTCGGTTTTACAGTCTTGACCTTCCTTCGGCACCTGGCACTCGTGCGCTCTCCTCTTAGTCGTGCCACTTTATTGCACACAGGGGCAGGCGGGGTTTTCGGCACGGTTTAGTGGGTATCTCGTTCCCATAGTGTCGTAACCGACGCAGTTCGAGTTCCCTCGAAGGGGAACGTCTCGGGTTACGTATGTAACCCTGGTTCCCCGAGAAGGGGAACGAGAGACTGCGTCGGCCCGCCGCACCTCTCTCCCCGCCTGAAGCGCCTGCTTCATAGTTTAAGCTAATGATGAGTGTGTACAGGTGTGCTTTATACTCCTCCGGTTATTCCGTCACACCTTACCGTTCTAGCAACAGGCCAATAGGATTGGAGTGATTTCATTCACGTTCAGACCTGCTTCGCCTAGAGGCGTTCCCATAGTGTCGTAACCGACGCAGTCTCTCGTTCCCCTTCTCGGGGAACCAGGGTTACATACGTAACCCGAGACGTTTCCTTCTCAAGGTCTAATGCTCTCGCTCTGTTTTTCCTCTCTCGGCGCTAGAGTCACTCTGATTGGCTGTTACTGCTGCACTCATTAAATTACTGATTTAATGCCTAATTTTATTTGCTTGTTTACATCACATTTTTATTTGTTTTCCCTTTTAGTGGTTACCTTTTTAAGGTAACATTAACCTGGGTTACATGTGCATGAAAAAACAATTTGCAAAGAAAATCCTGGTGATACGGTGGAAACCAACATGTACTCTATCACTACACAGTTGGTGGAATATTCTTACTTTAGAGCTCTCTGTGGCACAGTCTCACAAAGGAAAAGACCATAAGGTCTTGGTCTAGGTGAGCGAATGAGAGAATGAAGGTGTGTATTGTTTTTCTGAACACGTAGATGCCTTTTTTTTCTGTCAACACGAAACCAAATACAAAATTGCTCACAAAAATAGTAGAACACGCGAGTAGAAACCAGAAATATATTTGGTAATTTCAGCAAGTATATTTACTTTTAAATAAAATAAATATTGATCAAATCTAATTATTTGCAGGTTTCATGAAAGAGGTCTATATTGAGCCTAATCTTGTCTCTCCCATCAGTTAGACTCTGGTCTGGTGTGTAAGAAGGTCTCAGACTTGAAGGCCGTCACTGCAGCACAGACAGAAGACTCAGAGCGGCAGGAAGACGTGGTGTGAAGTCCAGTCAGGTTAGAGCCACCTGCATCAAATAAAGGCCGACTTCAGATTTACAGTTAAATTTACAACTTACACAAGTTGTATGTGATTTTCTTCAGATGCAGTAGAACCAGACTCACCTCATGGAAACAAAGTAGAACATCACTGAAATATTCCTGGAGATGGAGGCTGTGGAGGAAGAACACTTTGCTAGATGTTAACATCTTCCAAGAACTGCTTGGCTGATTCAAATAAACAGCCAGCTTCCACATCAAGTGAAGGACCTGTTGGGCAACTCTGTAGATGGAAACATTGTGATACTAATTTTATTTAACAGCTTTCAAGACAAATAAATGCAAATGTGTTCTTTTGCTTTGGCTTATTGTAGTATTTGAACACCCTGCTATTTTGCAAGTTCTCCCACTTAGAAATCATGGAGGGGTCTGAAATTGTCATCGTAGGTGCATGTCCACTGTGAGAGACATAATCTAAAAAAAAATAAAAAATCCAGAAGTCACAATGTATGATTTTTTAACTATTTATTTGTATGATACAGCTGCAAATAAGTATTTGAACACCTGAGAAAATCAATGTTAATATTTGGTACAGTAGCCTTTGTTTGCAATTACAGAGGTCAAACGTTTCCTGTAGTTTTTCACCAGGTTTGCACTGCAGGAGGGATTTTGGCCCACTCCTCCACACAGATCTTCTCTAGATCAGTCAGGTTTCTGGGCTGTCGCTGAGAAACACGGAGTTCGAGCTCCCTCCAAAGATTCTCTATTGGGTTTAGGTCTGGAGACTGGCTAGGCCACGCCAGAACCTTGATATGCTTCTTACAGAGCCACTCCTTGGTTATCCTGGCTGTGTGCTTCGGGTCATTGTCATGTTGGAAGACCCGGCCTCGACCCATCTTCAATGCTCTAACTGAGGGAAAATCTGGCAATACATGGCCCCGGTCATCCTCTCCTTAATACAGTGCAGTCGCCCTGTCCCATGTGCAGAAAAACACCCCCAAAGCATGATGCTACCACCCCCATGCTTCACAGTAGGGATGGTGTTCTTGGGATGGTACTCATCATTCTTCTTCCTCCAAACACGGTTAGTGGAATTATGACCAAAAAGTTCTATTTTGGTCTCATCTGACCACATGACTTTCTCCCATGACTCCTCTGGATCATCCAAATGGTCATTGGCAAACTTAAGACGGGCCTCGACATGTGCTGGTTTAAGTAGGGGAACCTTCCGTGCCATGCGTGATTTCAAACCATGACGTCTTAGTGTATTACCAACAGTAACCTTGGAAACGGTGGTCCCAGCTCTTTTCAGGTCATTGACCAGCTCCTCCCGTGTAGTTCTGGGCTGATTTCTCACCTTTCTTAGGATCATTGAGACCCCACGAGGTGAGATCTTGCATGGAGCCCCGGTCCGAGGGAGATTGACAGTCATGTTTAGCTTCTTCCATTTTCTAATGATTGCTCCAACAGTGGACCTTTTTTCACCAAGCTGCTTGGCAATTTCCCAGTAGCCCTTTCCAGCCTTGTGGAGGTGTACAATTTTGTCTCTAGTGTCTTTGGACAGCTCTTTGGTCTTGGCCATGTTAGTAGTTGGATTCTTACTGATTGTATGGGTATGGGATTTTTTTTTTTTAGATTATGTCTCTCACAGTGGACATGCACCTACGATGACAATATCAAAAATCATGGAGGGGTCTAAGTGGGAGAACTTGTCAAATAGCAGGGTGTTCAAATACTTATTTTCCTCACTATAAGTCATACAAAGCAGAAACACGATGCTGCTGACAGAGTTTTGGTATTTTTATTAAAATTTTCTGTACCGTGCAAATAACACTTACAGCCTGCACTTACTGTGCATGTTTATTTTCCGCCACCACCGCTGCTTTTAACTCCCGTGTTGCATTCAGTAACAGTCCCAGCTTGTTATTGGTCCATGCAAAATAAAAACCTGTTGCGGTTCTTCGTCTGTAGTACTTTATTCTTTCGCCAAATCGCCATCTGCTTCAAGTTTACACTGGCACGTGCATGCCCAGTGTACATGAACGGCCACTAGATGTGCATTTTCAGTCGATTTAATGTAGACGGTGTGGTGGGAAAAAGCAAACACTTGTCTTTCTGTGAATTTTATTCAAGTCTTCTGCAGAAGGAATTCAAGGGGACACATACACATCCGAGAGTATCATCCGAGTGAGCTGCAGCGTAACAGGTCATGCAGCTTAGTCTCAGGGTCGGAGTCCTATCTCATCAAAGAAACATGGTGTCTTTCAGTGTTCCCTAGGGGACACTGAATCTGGATCTATAGAAAGACACCCATGTCCAAGGTACATCTGGTGGTTATCTGAGACGTGTTCCAGAACCTAACCCTAAAGTTGACCATGCTGATGTTACACAGTTAAGTGTCTTGGTCATATCCTTAACTTCTCGGCCCACCCTGGGAAACCCTTGAGTGAAGGTTAACAGGGCTCCTAGTGTCTCTGAAACATTTATTGGTCTGGGTTTCACTGGTATGGAGTTCCCCGCTCCATGAGGGAGCTGTGCACACGCATAACAGCTCTGATTGGTTACTTTTCTTGACGTGGTCATCGTGGTTGCATACCATGCATTGTCTTTCAGCCCAGCCGGGCTGTCAGGGAGGACGTGCATCTCCTCCTCTTCGGCCTGGAACTTTCCCTCAGTCAGGCCAAGTTTGTTGTTTTCATGTTTGGAAATGATGACAGTGAGCAGAACAACGCCTCCGTTTTGTCTCGGTCCGTCACCTCTCCAGAGCCATCTGTTGGTTTCAGTGTGCCCGCGGTGAGTGTTTGGGAGATTAGTGGTTCTAGGTGGTCTCAGAGACCTCCACTCCCCTCCCTCCCTAGGAACACAAGGCAGGAGAAAGCTCAGCTCAATCACTGATCTCCATCTTCGCCTGGTTTGAGGCCTTTTGGTTGCTTTGGCACTCGTTTGCAGTGGGTGGCGTGAATCCAAGTTGCTCTTTCAGCCACTTTTACTGCTGTTTCTGTTGTTAGCAGTATCTGAAATGGCCCGGTCCACCTGCGAGCCCTTTCTCCTGAAGTCCTTTCCCACAATCCAGTCCCCTGGCTCCATATCGTGCAGTTTCTTCTCTGCGGCCTTCGGGATGGCGTTTTTGACCTGCATATGAATTTCAGAAAGCACAGAGGACAAATTAGCACAATATCTCAACATTTCATCCTCACATTGGCTGGTATCAGGGAGTTGTCTTTTTACTGGCCCAATCCCCGTGTTCAATGGTCTGCCAAATAGGACTTCAAAAGGACTGAGACCCCCTCTGCCCCTCATCCGGCTTCTCATGTGCATTAAAACGACTGGCAAAGCTTTTGTCCATGTTAAACCTGTTTCTTCACAGCATTTAACAAGCTTGTTTTTCAATGTGCCATTTTCTTATTCAACTGCACCTCCGCTAGCTGGATGATGAGCACAATGTTGCCTCAGATCAATCCCCATATCCTCCCCTACACTCTTCAGTGCTGCGCTAATGAAAGGTGTGCCGTTATCACTGGAGATCTTAGCTGGGATCGCTCAGCGATGATCTGGCTTATCAAAGCTTTTGCAACTGCTGCTGCATCCTGTTTAGATGTTGAAAATGCCTCTACCCCTTTAGAGAACATATCTACCATGACAACACAATATTTCTTCCCCTGTGACAGTGTCAGTTCAATGAAGTCCATTTGCAGGTGCTCAAATGGTTTGTCTGGGGGTGGGTGTGCCACCTGTGGGATCTGAATCGGCCGCCCCACATTGTTAGTTGCACAAATGATGTAAAATAGTCTCATGCAAAGTTGTTACTGCAAAAACGATTTTTACCAGGAGCTGGATCACGTGATGCTGAGCCGTCCACAAACAACTCCATGTCTGGGTTTGTTAGAGGAGTCTCCTGCAAGTCTGCCCTTAGAGAGCAGGTTTCTGCTATGACTGCAACACAATCATGCGGCTGTCCTTCACCTGGAGTTGGGAGGAGAGTAGCAGGATTCAGTACAGTGCAGTAATGTTAGATATATCAAGCAACACGGTCTTGTATCTCAGCCACCTGGATGTGGAGAGATGAGATGTTTTTTGTTCAAGCAAAATCATCGACAGCATGTGGAACCAGCAATGTCAAGTCTGAATAACCCACAATGTCACGTGATGCCATGGCTGCTTTTTCAGCAGCCGCCACAGCTCTCAGGCAGTTTGGCTGCAACAGAGTCCAGTTTGGATGAAAAATAAGCTCCAGGTCTCAGTGTCCCCCATGGTCTTGTAGTGGTACTGAGGTCATGTACCCCCCTTTTCGTCAACAGTCTGGGTGAAATGTGTGTTACAGTCGGGGAGACCCAGGGTCGGTGGAGACTGAAGAGCCCGCTTTAAATCAACAAAAAAAAAACACTGAATGACCATAAAAGAAAGAAACACCACAAACTCAAAAGCTTAGTACAAAACAAAATATTGGTGCATTTCAAGATTTCACACAAAAATACAATCACAAAGTAAAGCACAAACCAACTGAAAATTCCATTTGGGTTTTCTGCACACTTAAACCAAACAATCTCAAAAACACAAATGAGTTGCAGTTCATTTCAAAATCACAAAAATAAATTCAGTCCAGTGCCAAAGCAAAAAAAAAGATAAATAAAACTGGTTCAGTTCTCTGGCACAAACAAAACAAAAAGGAGGAGGTTTAATTGTCGCGCCATCCGGCAACGAATCAGTGTGGCTCATTTATAAAATGGGCGTTTCCGGGGTTTTCCACGGTGGTGAAACCTGGTGAATTCTAGGTTGTCACAAGATCTATATAATGTCTAAATTCTTACGTGTTTCTATTAAATGTTAACAAAGCTAGTAGTCTGAGGAAATCCTATCCCGTTTACAAAAAGCCTTTGTTCAACATTCACACGGTCTGTTAGTGTTTTTTTTCCCCCAGTCGCAATTCATTCACACAAGGCTGTTTGCAATGCCCACTCAAAAAAATTTTCATTCGCACTTCATTCATACATCTGTAGTGAACACATTCAGCATTCAACAATACTGTCTAATTACTTGGTAATCACCTGGAGCAGCAACCCCAAGTAAAATAATAAAAAAAATTCTTTTAAATAAAATTGTTTTTCTTCAATTTTATTGCGAGTCCTATGACTCACACACCCCTACTTTACTGTGGGTCCCAGACCCAAAAGAACTGATGCAACAGCAGGTCCCAGACCTATAAGAAATCCACTGCCCCCCAGTGATTTCTTGACTATAGTACCTTTAACACAAAGCTTTGCCGATTCACACGGCGGCCCCAGGCCTGCCCTGCTGACACGTCTGTCACGCTCACCCTGAGAGGCAGCGAGAATCGTTCCACTGAACAGTCTCTCACCACAAAGAGAGTGTTGCCAGCCACCAGGTTCTTTGTGGATCACAGCGGTGAGGGAGCCTCAGACACTCAGGCGTCAGGCCCTCAACGTCTCACCCGTATTTTGGCCATACGGTTTTTCACCTGCAGCTCCGAGTGTCCGAGTCCTCTCGCGTGTGTGACGAGCCGACAACGCCAAAATTGTGGTGGGAAAAAGCGTATTTAAATAAATCTGAATGAACCTCACCGCTGTGTTCACCACTTGTTACCGTCCGCACTGTGGAAGTTGATGGTCTCCATCTTCTCCATGCTCTCCTCCAGGTCCGTCTCTATGACAACATGTCGTCTGCAGAGATGTTACTGCAGAAAACAGGTCAGCTTTACTACAACACACGCTGAAGTACTGCAGGTTATACACGCTGAAGTACTGCAGGTTATACACGCTGAAGTACTGCAGGTTATACACGCTGAAGTACTGCAGGTTATACACGCTGAAGTACTGCAGGTTATACACGCTGAAGTACTGCAGGTTATACACGCTGAAGTACTGCAGGTTATACACGCTGAAGTACTGCAGGTTATACATGCTGAAGTACTGCAGGTTATACACGCTGAAGTACTGCAGGTTATACTCCACATGGTATACACAGAAGAATATTAAACACAGTACATCATATCCTGTCCTGGTGAGTCCAGGTCCCTGTAGTATGGGAGTCTGATGTGACTCTGGGTCCTGGTCTTACCTGACTTTGACGTAGTCGGACAGCAGCCAGCGGTAGATGGCCTTGGTGGCGTGAGTCATGAGGTGCGTCCTTTAAAGCTGGTCTTCTGCAGGAACCAGGGCAGAGCTCCACAGTGATCCAGGTGGAAGCTGAGAGGGAGGGCAACAGTTACTGAGGAGTTTCCAGGTCCACATCAGCCCTGACCTTTATGTTGGTCTGATTTCTCAGCATCATGTCAGGCAAAGCAGTTTGATTAGAAAGCACATTTCATACACAGGTCGAGTCTGTACAGAGAAGGGAAAACAACACACTTGGACATTAAAGTCCACCTGCTAGTACAGCTGAGTGTGTGTATATTAAAGTGTTCTCTGGTTGCTGTGCTGATAAATGTTGGGAACTCACTGGCTGATGAGCAGCAGGTCAATTTCAGCCGGGTCGATCAGGTCGATGTACGGCAGAGCGTCCATCCCGTCCAGACCAGGATGGATCCCGCAGTCCAGCTGAACCACAACACACACACGTTTTTACACACTGAGGTGACTGAAAGCTGAATACCGTGCAGCTGATGGGATTAAAAACAGACCAGAATCTTTGGTCCCTTGAACTCCAGGATGATGCAGGACCGTCCCACCTCCTGTCCTGCTCCTCTGGACACAAACACACAGAGACAGCATCACTTTCATGTCTAACTGACATCCAGATGTTTCAGGTTTCAGCCTTAAAGACAAAACTCTTCCCCCAAGAACCGTTAACAAACTAAACTCAGCTATCAAACCCAGCAGAACCAATAATAACAGAAGGACCAGCTGATGCATATCTGCCCCCAGAGGAACATCAAGCAGAACTCCATTCAAAAATTAAGCACTTTTAAAACACTTTGTCAGCAAAGGCCAAAACAAGCCAAATACCAGTTATTTAATTAATTAATCAGTTAAATTATTAACTCAGAATTTCTAGAATCCACCAATAAGCATCAGATTTTAATGAATGTTGTTGAAGTTAACGTCAAGTCTCGCGGTTAGATTTCCACGTTGAAAACCTTCTTAAATAAATAATGTTTGGTACATTTGGTCTGCGCCGAAATGAAGCCTTGCCTCTAATGAATAGTTAAGTTTAAATAGCAAGTTTAAAAAGCTTTGGCCTTTGTTGATAAAAGGAAGATCTACTAAATTGGTGTTTTTCTGAATGGAGTTTGGTGAGAGAGCAGCAGCCACGGAGGCTAAACCAGGTAAACGTTGTGTTTGAACTCACAGCGGGCGGATGAGCAGTTGGTCACTTTCCTCCGCAGGAACCGTGGCGTCACATTTACGTTTAGACGCCATGTTTACCTGAATAAACTCACAAATCTTCCACAAATACTAAATTAACTCAGAACTTCAGCTATTCCGCGCGTTGCCACAACTTTAACTCTTCTTCTTCTTCTTCTTCTACTGGCTTTCCGGCAGACTAGATGCCTTACGGCATATTGCTGCCACCCACAGTTCAGTCTCGGTATCGCTTTATAGCACCTTCATTCTCAGAGGGCTAATCCTGTTGCAGATATAAAATCCATGACTGCTTCCACTATCCTTGATTGGTTCTCATGAGGATTCAAAATATCTCTCAATGTCACTGCTTGTAATCCATCTCCTGCTACCTCAGAATACAGTTGTTCTCTTTGCCTTTTATACTGTTGACATTCCATAAACACATGATTAACAGTCTGTTGTTGATTGCAGGTTCTACAGAGCCCATCCTCATGTTTGCCTATCTTCGCTAGATCCCATGCAAATCCACAGTGTCCCAGCCTTAGTCTTGTCATAATTACAGCTTGTCTTCTGGATTTACCCAAGCAACTCTGCTCTGTCTTTACTTTGTTTTGTATTGCATAATAATGCCGGCCCTTTGTTTCCTTTTCCCACTGCCTCTGCCATACTACTATAGTGTTTTCCTTAATGACAGATCTACATTCAGTGACCCCAATACAAACTGCTAAATCAATATCTCTTTTCAGAGTCATTTTTGCTACCTTGTCTGCCACCTCATTCCCTTCTACCCCAACATGTGCAGGGACCCAGAGAAATCCCACTGACCCTCCAGCCTTTTCGATTTTATACAACAGAACCATCAGCTCCATAAACAGATCTGGCCGAGCTCCCATATTACTTCCTCCCAGAGTTTTTAACACTGAAGCCGAATCTGAGCATATTACTGCTCTCCTTGGTTGCACTTCCTCTATCCACTTTAGTGCCCATATAATAGCTAGAAGTTCTGTTGTATACACCGATACCCCCTCAGACAGTCGTTTAAGCTTTACATATTCATATTGTGGGATATAAAAAGCAAAGCCTGACTTCCCAGTTTGTGGATCTTGGGATCCATCTGTATATATCTGAAGGTAAGTTCCCCACTGATTTTCCAGTCTTCGCTTTACCATATTGGGATACTCTGTGCCTTCATGATGTTTGATGTTATCCATTATACTAAGATCTATTTCTGGTATGGACATCAACCACGGTGGTACAACTGACCAGTACACTTGCGGGGCCACCCTTCCTCCTTCAGTCCCAGTTCCTCAATTTTTTTCTGATGTTAAACATAAAACATTCCTTCCTCCTTTTCCCTGATCCCCACTCCCACGCATTAATTAGAACTATTTTTGTAGGGTGTTCTCCTTTATGTGCCCATAATTTAACAATATACTGCATTGCCAATTTCTCCCGTCTAATTGACAATGGCATTTCCCCCATCTCTACCAACAAAGCTGGGACTGGAGTTGTACGGAGGGCCCCGCAACATAGTCTCAGTGCCTTAGCTTGTATTACTTCCAGCCTCTTTAAATGTGTATCAGCGGCTGTCCCATAACACACACATCCATAATCCAGCCTAGATCTTATCATTGCCCTGTAGATCATTAGTTGAGTATCTCTGCCTGCACCCCATGTGCTACCTGAGAGGGAACGCATTACATTTATACCTTTTCACACTTATTTACAACATTATCTCTGCTTTTTCCATGTTAGCTTCTCATCCAAATGCACACCCAAAAATTTGAACTCTTTAACCCTCTCAATTGCTTGTTCATACAAAAATAAACCACCACATTCAGTTTTCTTATTACCAAATATTATATACTTTGATTTCTCCACTGATATCCTCAACCCCCACTTTTCACCCCAACTAGTTACTTTGTTCAGAGCTACTTGCATTTGCTCAGTTATTTGTTTGACATTCCTGCCCCTTTTCCAGATGGCCCCATCATCTGCAAAAAGAGATTTTCCAAAACTATTCCCAATTTCTTCAAATATATCATTTATCATAATATTGAAAAGGACTGGGCTTATCACGCTACCCTGAGGAGTTCCGTTATCGATACCTGTACCAGCTGATAAAGCATTTGCAACCCTAACTTGAATTCTCCTGTCCTTCAAGAAGTCTTGTATCCAGTTAATCATCCTCCCTCTGACTCCAGCCTCATATAGTTTTATGACAAGCCCCTCCTTCCATAGCATGTCATACGCCTTTTCAATATCAATAAACACCGCCATTAATACTTCTCTATTCACCATTGCTTTCTTTATATCACTGTCAAGGGACGTAACGGCATCCATGGTACTTCTCCCTCTACGGAATCCACTTTGTACTGATGTAAACCATCCCTTCTTCTCTAACTTATAAACCAATCTGTCTGTAACCATCCTTTCCATTATTTTACATAGGACTGATGTCAGTGCAATGGGCCTGTATGATCCTGCCTTATAAGCGTCTTTCCCTGGTTTCAATATTGGAACCACCAGTGCATGCTTCCATGTGCTAGGTAGACTTCCCTCTTGCCATATGTGATTCATTAAGGCCAAGATTTCCTCCAAAACTTTGTCACTAAGATTCTTAACAATCTCATAGCTAACACCATCCTTTCCCGGGGCTGTTTTCCTTCCTTTTCCAATTGCCCTGTGCAATTCTTCTAATGAGAAAAATAAATTACCCACATCAGAATTATCATTATTTATCTCAAGTTTGTATCGATTTTGCTCTAATATCTCATTTCTTTTCCTTATACCTGCTTCACCAATGTTAGCTCCACTGTGAACAGCTCTAAAGTTATTTTCACATAGCTTTGCTTTATCCAAATCACTTGTAGCAAACAATCCTCCCTCCTCTAAAACTGGCATTTTCCTTTTCCTATTACTTCCTGCCATACGATGTACTGCCCGCCATATTTCTGTTACTGCAGTCTCTGCCCCTAGTTTTCCACAGTATTTTCTCCAGCACTCTTTTTTGCAGTCTTAATCACTCTGCGTGCTTTGGCTCGCAGTCTTTTATATTCTACTGCTTTATCTTCTGTTGGATGTTTCCTCAATGCTCTATACCCCAATTCCTGTCTCTTACTGCTTTATCACAGTCCTTGTTCCACCATGGCACACTAATTTTCCTTTTAGAACACTTCTTTATCGGGATAGATTCAATTGCACTTTTCATAATTATTTCACATAAGCTGCTATTCCATTCCTCTATTGTCCCTTCCTCATTTACTTCCTCTATAGTTTTGTTACACTTTTCAGAAAAAAATGCCCAATCTGCCTTACTATAATTAAATAAGTTTTGGTTACCCTGTTCTTCACTCAATAAAGTTTTCCCAAACCTCAATAATATTGGGTAATGATCACTCCCTATTGTATATCTGTCCAAAGAATCCCACTCTCCAACCCTAGCTAGTTCACTGGATGCTAATGCCAAATCTATATATGAAACATTTCCTGTTCTAATATCAAATCTAGTTGGCCTGCCATCATTTAAACAAACTAATCTCCACCTGTCCATAAATTCCTCTATAGTGCTCCCATTATTATCTTTTATTCTGCTACCCCAAAGAGGGTTGTGAGAGTTAAAATCCCCCACCCAAATGACCGGTGTCCCTACTTCTTCCATAACCCACTCCAACTCGCTTAGATTTATTTGCAAACAAGGATTATACATGTTTATTATGTTAATCCACCTGTGCTGTCCCCAAACTCTTACTATAACACATTCTAGTTTAGACATTATCTCTACATTTTGATACTGTACATCTGATCTTATAAATGTTGCACACCCTCCCCCAGACTTTCCTTTTCTATCATATCTGTTACTTTCATATCCAGGAATCACAAAATCTAAGCATGGTTTAAGCCAAGTTTCCTGAACACATATCACCTCTGGTAGATCCTTAAATTCATCAACAAATCTCTTAAGTTCCTGTCCATTAGCCATCAAACGTGCATTCCATTGTAAGATGTAAAACATCAGCAATTTACCTATCATCATTTATGTCCATGTTTCTTTCCCCAGTACATTCCTCATTACTGTCAGTGATCTTTTGTTTTCCCCTACCTCTTTCGTAAACTTCCAGTTTCTGTCTCATATACTTGTGCAACTCTTCAGGACCCATACATGCCTCTTCCAGAAATCTCTCTGCAGCATCCACCACCACTTTAATAACGTCAGATCTTCTGGTTTGGTCTCTAACTGCCCACAGAACATCTACCATGAATGCCAGGAATGACTGGGTTCCCACAATCTGCCTCACTTTCTCCCTATCAGGCTGGGAATCAGAAGGTACTTCAACTACCACTTGTCTGGAAGGTTCCCCCGTTCCCCTCACTTTCTTCAGGGCATCTGCATATGATATTTTGCCTTCAACTCTCAATTTCTCTACTCCCACAGCTCTAACATGATGCTCACACCCCCTAAATGAAGATACATGATTTCCGCCACAGTTACAGCACTTGACTATATCAGCTTTACATTGAATAAAGTCATGGTTTCCTCCACACTTCCCACATCTTTTTTTCCCTCCGCATGCTGCTGCTACATGGCCATAGCGTTGACAATTGTAACAACGCAGGGGGGACGAATATACTGTCTCACTGGCAAGCTAATATATCCAAGGCTGACCCTCGCTGGCACAATATCTTGCTTGAATGTTAATAGCACAGCAGTACCGGTTTCTTTGAATCTCCGTACAGCTACAACCTCAGCTCCCTTTAAATTCTTCAAGATGTCACTCTCTTCTATCTCAAGGCTTACATAGATCACTCCTTTAGCATTTTTAGCCTGACCAGGAATAAAACATTCAACAGGCCTGTTAAGCAAATGCCGAACTTTAAGGGCATTCAACCTCTGATTATCACTTCTGCAAAAACAAGTATATTCCCATTCATCATCATTTTAACATTTAGAACTTTTCCCATTTTGTTTTTTAGCTCCTCCGATAGTCTGAGTGGGTTTAAGGCTTTGTCACTTTTATCTTTGAATTTAACTATCATCCTAAATCCACCCTCCTCTTCAGATCTTGGCATTTTCCTTGTGCTTTGGGACTCGTCACTCTCACTTCCACTTCCATTGTCAGATCTATCTCTTTTTTCAGATTGTCTGGACTTTTTGTCATTACTCCCAGCACCATCACTAGTTTTCCCCTTCGGCGGCATAGCCCATCCCTCGTTGGGGAGCTGCCTGCTGCTTCAGCTCACAACACAAACTCTCACAGGAGATGCCAATTGAGATATCAAATACTTGTCCCTTGTAAGATTAATGAGTCACAAAGTAATTTGAATCGCCCTCCAAACCGTACAACTCCTCCTAGCCGTGAATCATCCAGTCTACTCCTTTCCTCGTTGGTGTTTTTTCCGACCGTTCCGCCGAGTCGTTTCGCGTTGTCCCACCTTTGGGAGTGTGTTTTTCTTCTTCTTCTTCTTCTTCTTCTTCTTTAGAGTTTATCGGCAGCTTGCATCCATTATCGTTGCACTACTTACATCTTCCGGCTTTATTTCCTGTCATGTCCAGTTACATCATATTCTTCCCCATCATACCTATTCTTGATAAAAATAAGAAAATATTTCCTCTGCTTTGTTCATTCTCCCCACTTTCCAGTATTTCCTTCATTCCTGTCCCTATTGTTCCAACTATTCCTAACTCTTCCATCATATTTTTCCTCTGTTCTTCATATTGTCTGCAACTCAAAAACACATGCTCTATAGTTTCTGCAACCTGACCACAACCACAAAAACCAGTTGGGTGCTTCCCTATAATGTGTAATGTGCTATTCAAATTACTGTGACCTATCCTTAATCTGGTCATAACTATTTCTTCTTTTCTATTCCCTCCCCTATTCTTCACCGCCCCAACTTTACTTTGTATAGCATATAAATGTCTCCCTTTAGTTTCCATATCCCACTGATGTTGCCATTCTCTAATGCTTCTTTCCATATTATACTCTTTCCTTCAGACTTTGACAACTTAATATTTCCTTCAATACTCTCTTTTTTAACAGCTTGTTTGGCTAACTTGTCCACTCTCTCATTACCCACAATGCCAATATGAGCAGGAATCCAAGTCAATTGAATCTCATAGCATTTTCCCCTTATTCTTGTGTATATTATCAATATTGAATACAGTAAATCCTGATGACTATTAGATATACCAGTCATGAGACTGTATAAAGCTGACACTGAATCACTTCCAATTAAAGCTTTTTTGATTTTGTTTTCCTCAATCCATTCTAGCG